GGTGAGGGGGGGTCTAATTGTACATAATTAGGGGGTCGAGTTTGCTGGCAGCACAGCAGCCACCGCTGCACATGTGGGAGGTTTCACATGCAGCTCGTGGAAGAACACGTGCACGAACGTGAGTTTAATTAATTCCATTGTCACAATTTACCTCCCGTTTTGGAAAGATGCCTCAAACTTGTCAAAAAGCATTACGGTTTTATCTTTGCTGAAGAAAAAAAAGAAAGCAAGGGGGAACTCTTTGTTTTATGGTTCCTGGCTGGATCTAAATTAAATTATGACAACTGGTAGCTTTACTAACATTCTTATAATAATCCTGTTTTAAACAGGGGTCATGTAAGATTTCAGCAACTTCCCAGCTCCTATTTCCTCGATTTTAAAAGTGAAAACGGGGAATTCCTGGTTGTACACTTCAAAGTTAGAACGTCTTTTCCCTTTAAAGCTGTCAAAATTTGAATTCTTTTTCATGTGGTGCCTGCAAACGATAGAAAATGAGAAGACAACTTGATGACAGGAAGTTTTTGACATTCCTAACTCTGAAAATCTTTTATGTGTAATGTTAGCCTGATTTGTCTGATTTGTATTCTAACTACTCCATTTAGTTCTGCGGGTCACTGGTCCACTCAGACCACTGTGGAGATGAAGTGCCTGGGTCAGTCACACATTCAAAATAAACAATCTGCACAAGAGGGGGAAAAAACTAAAACAAATAAAACCTCATATCAGCATCAGTTTTGTTCTGAAATTGACATAATGGTTTTTGTCGGTCAGGGCTCACTTCACCCACATAAGACCTTGGGTGAAGTTTAGACTTCCTGTTTGACCTCAGCAGATGGTGGAACTTCATCCATCTCTTGTGCGCTCTTGTTTTGCCGCTCGAAAAATATTTTACCAACTAAAACTGATGCAACTGTGATGTGAAGTTAGAGTCTTTGTGCTTCTCTGACTGACTTATGGCTCCTCTGAACATCAGAAACAACTTATATTATTCATCAGCTAAAGAAAGATTGGACACTTTCCCAGTGGAAAAGTTAAGAACAATTAATATCTTACCTTATCTTCTCAAATATTACAATGAAACAGAAAATAGTTCTGAATGGACACCGAGGATGGGCAATGAAGTTAAAAAAATGTTGATCAAACCTGTAATTAACATAATTTGCAATCTTATGCAATTTCCCAAGACTTCACATTCAGAGTATGTGTTGTGAATGACTCAAGTACCAGATCAAATTTCTGCTCAATATCTGTAAACATGTCTAATGCAGCCACCTTTGTGTTTGATCATTTTGATAAGCTGTGTTGGCCATTTTCAATTGTATTAACTCTAAAAGTTAATCAGCTGTAGCTAGGCCATAGTTACCCTCTGAAAGATTCATAAAAATCCATCTGGTGGTTTATGAGATACTTTACTAACACGGTATTTTACTAACACGGTGCAAAGTATAAATTTTTCGAATTAGCTTTGGACAACAGGTAATAAACATGTGACCACATGGGATTACATCGACATGTTGAAAATGTTTCAAAACTACATTTCCCATGTGCAAAACATGTAGAATTAACAGTTTTTCCATGTTAAATGAATGTTATTGTTAAAGAGATTACAAACCGACACCATTTCCAATTTAAACTCCCACAAACCGTTGTGTAAATAATTGTGTCATGCAAAAAGATTTGAAGGTTTAAAACAGCATGTTTTAAACAACAGGAAATGCATTTACTACTCATGACTGTGGGGATCAAAGTGTAAAATAAAATGTTTAAAAATATCACTGACACTTTTTCATTATTTGGCCCATTTTCTGAGTATTTCACTAACATTTTACTGTTTTTTAGCTCACTGTTCTTACATTTTGCTATTTTTTTACTAAATGTTAAATTTGAAGTTTAAATAATATATGTAAATGTTTTTGTCATGTGTGTGTCTTCTTGAATGGGTGTTCTTAAATGTAATTTCATTGTACTCCGTATAATGACAATAAAACCATCATCAATCAATCAATCAATCATCAATCAATCAACAATCAATCAATCAATATTAAATTCTTAATCTAAATGCTAAAAGTAAATGTTGTACCACACTGAACACATCAAATCATCTGTCATTTTTGGAAGCTAAGTAGGGTTAGGCCTGATTGGTATTTGGATGGGAGACCCTCTCGGAATACCAGGTAATGTAAAAACCAATGTAGAAGTTGTGTCCATGCACATTGTAAGGCAAGCAATAAAAAACCTTTGACCATAACAAATCATAGGTTGCCTTCTACAAAGGACAGCAAAAAAAGGTTTTGGAATGGTACGCAGCCTTTGCCATTGGTGCTGGGCTCTTGTTATGATATCTTCATCATCCTGAAACAATAGCAACCGCTAACACGTCCCTACAAGACATCAAAACTGTAGTTGTGTTTAGTGTCTGACAGTGTTGTTTTTGACTGCCATTTTTATTTTAGTCTTAGTCTTTTGAACAAAAATACTTCTTAGTTT